AAAGAAAGAAAGAAAGATAGATAAATAGATAGGTATAGACAGATACAGAAGCCACAGAAGCCAAAAGCCACAAAAGCCAGAAGCCACAGAAGCCAGAAGCCAGAAGCCACGAAAAACAACAAAAATTCCAAAAAAGAAACAAAAAAAATTCCAAAAATAAATACCCCTCCCTTCCAAATTGCACCTCATCGCCGGCGAAAACGGGATAAAGAGCAATCAAACCATGTTCTTGAAAAACAGGGCGTTGCTACTTCAGGTGTTCGTCACTCACTCCCTTTCTCAAAGCACCACGTCGTCCCCCATGGCTGCATACGTCCCCGGGCCTCTCGTTGTGCCAAATGCTCCTCATGTAATTGGATCGCCCGAGCCAAGACGGCCTGAGCAAGCCAGGACGACAGGGCATCTTTCGAATGGACTGGACGGATGTGGATGGGACGAATGCCCATTCAACGACGTTTCTTTTCGCTTCTCCGGCAAGTTCCGGGATTGACCACCACTTGGGATTGGAGCATATGGAGTTGATATGGCGACTTTTGACAAGGTCAGTACAGTAGCCGCCACGAACGCCATGTAGATATGGACATCCATCGACCCAAACGAACGACGATCACTGACCATCTCCTGGCCTACCTTCTAGGACGGATCGTTCGGGTTCTGAAGACCTCCGTTGGATGTAGGACTCCTCCCACTCTCCCGGCCTCGTGCGTGGCTTGGCAGGAGAAACCGTGCCGCTGCGCCGGGTACGGGCCCTGGCGTTGGAGGGTCACCTGGCCGGGACGTTGAAACTGCAGTGGTAGCTCTCTGCAACTGGTCCAAAGGGCAATGACAGGGGGGTAGTGGGGAAAAGACATCAGACATGGATCCATGGAGAAGGGGTGATCAGTGGTGATCTCAAGTAACTAATTGAGATGCTACATCTCTTCCACAAGGTGCACAAGAGGCGCGAAAGAGGCACGGATTGTTCTCTGGCCATTCTGCTGGTGACATCGACCCGTCCACGACGTGGGTGCAAGCGGCGGACGGTTGTTCAACGGACGCCATGGCAACTCGGAGGGGAAGAACCACCCTCGGTGAACGTGTTACTTCGACTCGGGGTTGATTCGAGTCCATCGAAATGGCGTCCATCCTGTTTTTTCATCCCAGGTGCGGCTGAAATGGATGATGACACCGACAGCAAAAGCACAAAAGACGTTTTCGGAGTGGATGAAAAACATACATAGCCCATAGGACAATGGGCGGACACCTTGTTGCATTAGCCAGTTTACAACAACCAACACCAACACCAACAACCACAACCAACAACAAGAACATCACCAACAACCACAACAAGAAGTAGAACAAGAAGGCGCTTCGACGCCCACGTTGTGGTCTACCCATCCCACGTTGTGCCTCAAAGGTCTCGTTTGTGGCGTCGCCCATGGGTCACAAAGGCAACGATCCTTGCGTTGTGGATCCTTAGCCGTTGGCCATGGAGGGGATCGCGGGGCTGCGGTCCTTGGGCGATCTGTCGCGAAGGCCAGGCCTTTGGCACACGGAAAGGAAGAAAGGAAGCGAACGTAGAAACCCATAGGCAGGTCCTAGTTGTAAGGTAAGAGTCAGGGTGCAGTTGACCAAGAACAAAATTAGTGGCGGTGCAGGAACACACTGCGACAACACTCTACAAAGGACACTGCCCGAAGCAACCCCTAAGCATGCTTCCAGCAAACAAGCAGCACTTTGGTACAACAGCAGCCCAGCAGCAAACCAGGAGCAAGATCAGCAACACCACCAGCAACAACAAGCAATGCGCTTCCACAAGGACCCTGCTGATGCAAATGATGCCGCAGGACTAACTCATCCAACATGTCTCTCGTGGCTGTCTCCCCACGATCACACACCGTCTAGAAGAGACCTTACTTCGTGCGCAGAAACGAACTTCAGCCGTTTGCATTGGCTGGCTTTCCTCATCTACCCTAAGGATCCGCACCCTCAAAAACAAGGGTTTTGAGGGTACAAACCCTTGTTATAGAGGGTTCGATCCCTTCTAAGGAGGGTCCACGAATCCTTAGGGTACCACAGATCGTCACCCATTGCCGTCGTGTCATGGCCAGCGCTCGATCGCCCAGAGGCCACCACCGTCCCTCGATCGCCTCGCGACAGCTCGTCGTTCCGAGCCACCACGGACCGATGAGCGAAACGCCCGCGAGACGAAGAAGAGCAGGCACCAAATGGCCAAGTTCCACCCTTGGTGAGAGCAAACTCAACATTCTCATTGGTGATCCCCGTCCAGCCTTTTTGGGCCGAGGAAAGCCCATGGCCTTGAAGTTTCTGCCAAACCACGTCCTGTTGTGTCTTGGCCGGCAACAAGATATTTGCACAATCATCACCTTTGGCGCCCGGCATTCAAGCAAAGGCCTGGCTCTATGTCTCTGTGGGTTCCTTGACCCTCCACTTGCATACGTAGCTTGTGGGACGTAGCTCTGTCGCTGAATCTGCTGTGCCCCAGCTTCATCACTGTGAATTCTCAAATAGCCATCACACGCATCTCCCTTCAATGCAGCTCGTGTGCGGAGCAGAAGGGGGGCTCCCAAGGCCCAGCTCACTGGGCTCGTCGATCGTCAAGCAGCTTGCTCCACCGTGTGAGCGTCCGACTGTGTTCCCTCCACAGTCCGACTGTGTGGTGGTTGAAGGGAAGCGAAGCGACAGCCGTCGTGGTAACGGATTCTCTCGGCTTCCACGCAGGTTTCAGCGCCATCCGCCCTGCCGAGAAACCCTTGGCCTTCAACCGGGTTCACACGTGGCTTTTGGAGTGTTTTGCTTTTTACCCACAAACCCTTTTGCACCGCGAACTTTCGGAATCGATAGGGCAACAAAGGCCAGTCTTGAGGAAGCCGGCCGGGGTTACAACCGGAGGATCTCTGCAATCCACCCAGCTTCCATTCGCTTTTTTCGGAATGAAAGGCGTCGAGACGTGGGGGAGTTGACGTCCCAAACGCCCAAGGACCCTCCGTTCAGTAGGGACCATAGCCTCATATGAATGGACCCTCAAACCCCTATGGTTTTAAGGGACCGGTCGGCCTGTGGACAAAGCGGTTGAGGCACTTTACTCAGATTCATCGTAGCAATGCCATTGGCCCAAAGGGTCAGAGTCCCTTCCTTTGGGAGTCAGACCCCAAAAGCACGTTCCGAAGCAAAGCTTGGCTGGAAATGAAGAGAGTACCCCCTTTCACACCATCAGAATATACCAAAACTGACCCCAACAAAGCGCCCGCGACCACAGTAGGTGAACATTTCTTCGTTGACCCTGTTGACTTCGAGACATTTTCTTCCAAAATCTCGTCGCGGCTCAGATGTTGGTCTCATCCGGATCGGTCATGAGTGGCGTGCACTCCATTTTGTGCCGGGCCACTGGGGTGTTGTGGCAGAGCGTCCCACACCATGCGCGCTGCATGGCGCCAACCGTGCAAGACGTTTTGGTGGAAATTGAGGTGAAGACATGTCAAAATCATGCTTCAGGAAATGTATTATAAAGGGACTCTTGATAGGAATGACCTGGAAACAAGGACATCCGAAGCAAAATGGCTGGCAGTTATGCTATTTGCACAGCATGCGGTGCATCTTCCAAACACGTCAGAGTTCCGTTGCAATTGGGTCCTGGGATCTTTGAGCGATTGGGTCTTGGCGGAAGTCTTCGTCGGTTCCACCAGATTGGTTCGAAGAAATTTGGACTCAAACAGTTTCTGAAGAGTTCACATCTAAATCTCTCAAGTCGAAGCAGCATTTCATTCTAAAAGTCAAGGTCAGGATCTGAAAAGCCGACAAGCCACTAGTTGTTGAATGTTGAAACGACTTGTCAAGACTTTTCATACTTGATTTGGACTCCTCTCCAAAGACCTCAAATCACAGGATTCGAATGGGGAGACCTAAACTGTCTCAACCGGTGGTTGCCTGTGAATCTTCCAGGACAAACCGTAAACCCTTCAAGTCTACTGATCTTGGCTCTGCATGTTTTTTTGTTTTACATTCAAGGCACACTGTAAAAGTACCCAGGTCCTCCGAAGCAGTTTCCAGTCCTTCTCTGGTGAGTCTCCTTCACCCTTGTAAGAGAGAAACAGAGTCTTCTTCCAGCACAAATCCAAATTGTTCATCGCCATCATTAACAGAAAGTTTTCAGACAAACGTGTGTGAGGGCTCATGTGCTGCTTGGTGCTTTTAGGCATCGATGTGCATTCCCTTGTTTCAACCTCCTTTGTACTTCGACACAGGACCACCCTATGAATTCGTGGGATTTTCGTGAGATGGTGCAGAATTTGGTTCATCCACCGAAAAAGAGTTGATGTCGCACTATATATTTGGTTTTGAGACTTTTGACCATTGGATTTTGGGATATCCCGGGTACCCCCGAACTATTTGGTATGTGAAGCTCTTGTTCTGCAGGAGGGGAACCTAACAAATCACTCCCACTAGCAACGCACCAGGAGGATCCATATCATCGAGGTGATTGCTACTAGTAGCTTCTTGTTCCTAATAGCGATGGCCTCCAACCTACTTGCGATGGCCTCCACCCTAGTAGCGTCCTTTTCCTGTGCGCCGTCCTTTTCGGTCCCAGTTCTTTTTCGCTTGGTCCGTCGATCGCGACACGTCCAAGGCAGGTGCGGGACGCAGTCAGGCAGGTGGGCCCCCAAGGAAAACCCGGCGCCACATGCACAGGGTAAGAAATCCATCCCAAAAAGGCAACCCCCGTGCTTGGTGCATGACATCCTTTTTGCCACGTTTCGATCGGTTTGTTTTGCCGCATCACCTGGGGGCCATCTGCATGCACCAAGGTCCCGCTAGCCTTTCCACGCCCGGACAGGGCGGATGGCTCGCAGTCTCGCAGGTCTCCGCATCTCACCGCCGGTCTCGAGGAAGACTCCTGGGGGGTCAGAGACGCGGGGCGCAAAGACGCAGGTTTTGAAGTTCTTCAGACTCTGACTCTGGTTCAGGCGCTTCATTTTTGGGAGGCCATCGCTATTAGGTCGGAGGCCGTTGAGATGATTGTTTCTTACAAGTAATAGCGAGAGCTATCGGGGGTTCTTACTTCAAGCACAGCAAGAAGTGCCTGTGTGCGCTGCAACCCTGCCGCTCCTGGGTCCGGGGGTGTTGCTGCGAGATGTCTACGGCCACACCGCGCTTGGCTGGAGGCTGCCAGTCTTGGCGACCACCACTTGCATCTCTCCCTCATCTCCAAAGTATTATTCCACAACCATTCAACGACCCCTGCAATCGCCCAGATGTAAACCACACACAAATGCAACATGCAAACAGGTCTCTGAGCAGATCGAGTTGGGCGTTTCGGCCATGTCTAACAGACCGAAGGTGCCCTTTGGACCAAACCCATGGACCGCTGGCGTCGACAGCGCATCGTTCGTCGGGTTCTCCTTCACCCGTCGACCGCTCGGTCATCTCAGCGAGCGAAAGCCCGTGGTCGCCGTGGCGTCGCCGTGGCGTCGTAGGTTCTCACTGGTGCCATGCAGGGATTGGAGCACGGAAGCCCTGCTCGGCCAGCCAGCCGTAGCCGGGATGAGCAGAGATCACCATCGGAAGAATGCCACACTTCTGCTTCTTCCTGAGATGGAAAGCTCAAACGCTTCCTGGAAGCGTCAGGGTGTTTGGTCGTTGTTGAAGAGAAACAAAACATATCTTCAAAGTAGTAAGCACCTGTGTTGATGCGACCTGATTCAGGCTATCTGTCTCACTTGCTCTATTAAAGGCAACAGGATGGATCCTCTTGTGAGTCGTGGCCGGTCTTTCAGACCAACCATCCCACCTCTGGGAGTTGCGGTGGGAGTTGAGGACGCAAAAAGATCCTCAAAACAGTATCGTCTTGGAGAACTTGAAAGAGGACAAATATCCAAGTCCATGCTTTCGAACCCTTAGAATCCAGTGACTTGTTGAACTTTTGGGCCTCAACATGTTTGAGCGGACAAGGACAGGTGATGGCCCCTTGACTTTCGAGCACATTCTGGAAGGATCAATGGACCGGAACTGCTTTCCAACGGATCTTCCGCAACTGGGAGCTGTTGCGACCCGCCTCCTTGGCCCACTTCCCCAAACCGGTCCAGGTAGGAACTGCACAGTGGGTGAAAACGACCAGGCATCGCCAGGTAGAAGGGACCTGAAATTCCTTTCCTACATCTTCTACCCTTTCCGTGGTGAAAACTCACATTTTTTGAGCCAGGTGGTCCGAATCTGGTCACTTCCGAGTCCCAGTCAATCCAAAGCTCTCTGGTTTCTTCTTCACTTTGGCCTTCAACAATTGCCCCAAATAGCTGGTCTCCAGCTGCTCGGGAGGAAGTTCCGCCATCTGCGCAGGCTTCGCGGAGGCTTCTCGGACGGTGTTGGCACATGCTTCAGGCGAAAACCAGGTGTTGGCACCGCTCAGTGGTACATTCAGCTAGAGGCAGATTGGGGCCAAGGTCCCGTTAGAGGTGGAACAGAACTTGAAGTCAAGTAGTGTCCAACTTGGCGCCGATAATCATCCTGAACTTGAGATTCTTCCATTACACTGGCTCACTGTGCCGTAGGACAACCACAGCTTAGTGGCCTCGGGTTCCTGTCGCCATGCCAGGGAGTTGGTATGGTCAAGCACAAGAGTTCTGCCATGAACAGGACTGGCTAGATTTGTCTGAAGAGCAAGCGTATGATACGAAGTCATTTGGGGGAATCCAACTGGCTGCCAACTGGCACTGTGCATGATCCGATCCGCAGAGCCATCGACAGGACCCCTTCATAGCTTCGAGAAGATCGGGCGTGATGAAACAAGGAAGCCCAAGAGAAGATCTGTGGAACCTTTGCTGCAGATATGGGTCCCCCCAGTTTTGATCACGCCAAGATGTCACGGCTTCAACAGCCAGCACCATTGGCTCTTTGCTTCTGAGGCAGGTAGGTCAAAGCCCTTACTAGTGACTGCTATCCCCACTGAAAGAACCGCACCTCGGGTTGAGAAAACACCTTGGTGACCCTCAGGCGATCTCATTGGCCTCTCCGTCCCTCTGCACACTCCCTTTCGTTTCACACGCAAGGCTAGACACTAAAACATCCACTCGCTCCTGCGCGACTTAACTTACGAAAACACATGGCTTTTGCGACGCACGGCTCGCCTTTCGGAGCCTTCACAGTTTCTCCCCCCGTCCTCCTGTGTTTCCTGGGCGTTGAGAAACGCCACGTTTCTCAAGCAGCCTCGGGTTGATAGAACGCCTCCATGGTCGATGGGGCCTCGGCACGTGTTGGTGGAACCCTGGTGGAATCCAAAAGGGGAAATTCCCATGCACCCGGTGGAGTACTAGATCACTGATGTGGTGACAGTACTAAAAAAGTGGATGGCTAGGTCATCCACAAACAAGGCCAACGGAAGGTCTTGGGGAAAAAGACTCCTTCAAAGGCTGTCTCACCATCGAGGCATCGATCTACTCGACGTTCAACATCGAAACAGAAACTGCTGGCTTGCTATCAACGCCAGCGTGCCCACCCCCCAACGTCCTCATGGAAGTGCATGGCCCTGGTACCCCTGGAACGACCATTCTCCTCGACAAATAGCGGGTGACCTCCACTTCCGTTGCCGGATCGTCACAGAACACACGGACCTTGTCCGTAGGGAGGGTAGCTGATCTCCATCTTTTGTGTTTTCCCATGCAGAACATGTCCTTCCCGAATTCTGCTCGACATTCTGGTCGGAGGCCACCCCCTTCGCCAGAACAGGGACTTCGCGTTCGCTTCTTGAAGGGAATTACCACAAGAATCACGTGCAAGAACAAACGTATCTACTTTTCCATACCTTTTCCCATTCCTTCGAAGGATGCCAGTGGAACCGCCAGAGCTCCACAGTTCTTGGCCGTCGTTATCGTGTTCATCGTCACGTCGTCGCGAACGAGTAAGAAGCATGGCCATGCAACGTAGAGGACCAGGTGGTGTTCCTTTTCTTTGGGAGGCTACCGACTGATGGAACATACATGAACATGCCACGGCAATGGTTCCAAGCTGGATCATGGTGGCTGTGGGGGTCACACACACAAGGATAGAACAACCCCTTTCCCCAAACCTGGCTGGTGGGTAGCAGAAAAACGCTCCCGCGTTGATCCAACATCCCCCCCCAACCCATGGGTTGCGCTTGGGGGGCTGGTCAGGGCTCCAGGTCTCTATGGCAGCCCCTCTTCTTTGGCAAGTTGCTGGCTGGTCGTCGCCCAGGCGCTGGCGGTCGTTGACGGAGGAAACTCATGGTGGGTGCAGACTGGCGTCTACATCGAGACAAGGCAAATGTGATTCTTCAAGTCCGCCTCTACAACTATGACGTGATCTTGCCACACCCTCTAGCAACCAAACAGTGTGAACCGAGCCGACCTGAATCAATCACTCTTTAACGCGACGCAACACGTGGTTGTTGACTCGGGCAAGCAAGCTCAACTACGTGGCTCGGAAGCCGGGCGTTGACCGTTTTAACACCTCAGGCCAAATGACGTTGAGTTCCACAGACGCATCTTGGAAGCCATTCCGGAAAGCACCCATGGTGCTTCTTTGGGCGGACTGCTCTGATCCAGCGAGATTGCGACTGGGATGGACAAATCAACATGGCCCCAACCTACTAGCGATGGGCTCCACCCTAGTAGCGCGATCTGCTTTAGCGCCTCTTTGGGTTGAATCTCCGGTCAGAATTATACAATAGCCCTCCACATCCCTTTGCCCTTTAGCAGATCTGATCGGGGCATGTTTCCAAGTCTCTCATCAGCATCAACTCCTCTCCCATCTTCAAGGACGACGATTTCAGCTGTTCTTTCCGGTCCCGTTCCCCCCGAAAACGCACCAACGAGCTCACTGCGCAGTGCCCCCAAGGCCGCTCTGTGCCGTTTCCGCCCTCTGCAGTCCTCTGCTGCTCCGTCCTCCGTCGTCCATCGGCCGCGGTCTTGGACGTCTGTCGTCTCGCCTTCTCGGCGGGGATGGAGGGATCCCAGGAGGGCCGTCCGTAGAGCGAGAAGGCGGAGCCATCCACGAAGTGCACCTCGTTCGAGAGGTGTCGGTGTGTGTGTGCTATTTATTGAGTTGGAGGCCGTCGCGCTACTAGGGTGGAGGCCATCACTAGTATAGAAACAAAGAAACAAAAAAAGGACCAAAGGAAGAACAGGAAGAAACCGTGTCTCTGTGTCTTTTCTTCGTGGTGATTAGTCCTTAGGAGGGCGAGCTTGGGTAGGCAGCATGGTTTGGAGATGCTTGGAGCCTCAAGGCAAAAATGGTTGGCACTGCAGAAAGGGAATGCTGCTTCCATTTTTTGGTGAAGACATGACCTATGCAGTGGGTGAATGAATGCCTGAAAGTCCTTAAGAGATCAACCAGCATGTTTTTGGGGTTCGAAGGGTTTTCAAGAAATTGCAGAAGCCTGATGACCTGCCACTCTGTGGACATGCTTTGGGTGTCTTCTGTTGGGAGAATCTGCAGAAAGTGGAGGAATCTGCGTCGAATGTCACTGCACCTGGTTCTGATGGTGAAGTAGCAAGATACTGGAAGGTTTGGGTTAACCACAGGTTCCTTCAGGGTGAAAGGGGTGAATCATCAGGGTGAATCATCATATGAGTGTGGACCCTGCAACTAAGACGTGGGAAGCATGGAAAAAGAGCAGCACCAATCCTCCCACACCCAACGTACGATCCTCGGAGCAAGAACCGCCGACCACGCCGCGGCGCTCCCGCCCCCGAGGCACCAGGATAAGCTCTTGGAAGTTTCCCAACCAACTACCGTAGTTGATGAAGCTGTTCCTTGCCAGTGCGGCTCAATGCGGCTGCGGATGGGTGGCAAAACAACAGAACCTCGTAGGACTGGCACGTTCTGCGAGACATGCAGCCGAGAAGCGTGGGTGTTCTTGGTTTCGCCGTGCGTTCGGTTCGCGCAACGACGAGTTCAAGGTGAGAGTCAGTGCAGTTGGGTGCTTTCTGAGACATCATACTTGGAGCTTCTCCTGCTGATCTACAGTTGTACTTTCTGAAAGATTAGTCTGCGAAGGAGGAGATATTATAGTCAGAGAGGCTTTGGAGGGCGGGCACCTTTGAATCTTTTGGAGTACTAGTCAGGACCCCCCAAGCAAAAGTGCCCCGCCATCACTCGAGGATGATATAGAGCAAGCCCACAGAAAATCCTGAAATAGTGGAACCTAGCCGCAACGGCTGCATGATGATTCCACCACCAACTGGCAGGACTTTCAGCTATGACCAGCAACAAGAGAAACAGTTATACCGTAACCTCCCACAGTCATTTCCGGCCAGGTATTTCTTTGAACTGTCCGGGGTGATGTGCTAAGATTGGACAACATCAACAGCTCTGGGTGACGCGGAGGTTGAAGGTACAACAAAAACTACAAGAAGAACAAATAGACCAGGAAGGTCTAACAGAAATCGACCCAAACCTGTGGAAAGTCCCACCCCACACAGCTCAGGCACCTGTCATTTCAACAGGATGGAGTATGCCATCAATGTACACTCTGACTCAGAATGGTCCTTGTAGGGGACTATGTCTTTGTCCGAGTGTGCTCTTTCCCTCGTTCTCCAAGGATCTCTTCATCGAAGACATGCCATCGAGGGATGGGAGGCAGATCCTGCCGGTCCGCCACGGTCGTCCGACCGTGCTGTTCGGGCAACAACTCTGCACGCCCAAAAACACTGCGGACCTGCTACGCTACGCGTGCTACGCTGCTAGTTGAGCAGCATGCTAAGACCGCTGAAGTCGTTGGAGCCACCAAGCAGGGCAACGCAGTGATTTGGGTTGCCATGTTCGGTGATCGGCTGAGGCAGAATGCCCAAATTCACTTCCAACACATGGGTGTGTATTTTAACAGGGAGACCCCGCAACCACAGGGGTTTTAGATGGTTTTTGGTCTAACTCTCTCTTCCAAGGTTCATTTGGAGGGTTTCCCTATATATGCCACAGGCGACACCAAGTCTTTTGCGCCTCAACCTTCAAAGAGATCCGCTCGGTGTAGTTGAGAAAGGCCGAGATCGCTCGCTGGTCGTGCTCCTGCAGGCCGCTGTCCACTCGTTTCGGACGTTGTTCCCAGTGGATGTTGCAGGCCAAGCCAATGAAGCTTCCTCTATTGGGGATATTTCTTATGAGACTTTGAAACACAAAGCTGCCAATACATCCACGTGTTTGTTGGGTGGGTCCTTAGGGCTCGAGCCCGCTTTTGTCCTTTTCCCCTTTCGTGTTCGGATCTCCTTTCGAGTCGCGAGTCGGAACATGTTTGTTGGGTGTGTGCAACACGCAGGGGGTCAGACCTTCGTCAAACATGGGTCGCACATGCAGCGGCTTCTTTCTTCCTATCGACATGTGGAAGAGGTCTAAGACGTGAGGGAGGAACAGTAGATGAAACTCCATTCCAATCTACCAGCAATTCTGACCTTGAATGTATGTCAAGTTCAGAGTGCCTACAGATACTCCTATAGATGTATCTAGTGGATGTGCCATCGCAGCTACTGACCTACTTGGTATTCTACACTGGGCTGTTGATAACCCGCAACAAACCCACATCCACCAAAAGTTCGAAGCTCCAAGGAACCATAACTTATCACATGTCTCAGGTAGCCCCATACACTCTTCTTGGTGTTAGACAAGGTGGCCTGCTCCACACCGAAGAGGGCAGCTTCGCCCCTGCCCACGATTCACCCCAATCTGTGGCCCTCACATAGGGATGGTTGTAAAGCCATCGGAGCATCTCGAAGAGCCAGGCGTGGGTCTTCTCGTTGGCACCTCGGAGCTGTGCCGAACGCACCAGGTGAAGGGGTAGGACAGGCGGCTGGTGACCGCCCCCCCCCTGCAGGCTGCAGGGGGATGAGCGGACCGGGGGGTGGACCGTTCACAACACCACAAGGCACCCGTTCATCCAGCGCCAGTCACTGGGTTGAAACATAACCTCCAGACTATGGAAACAAAAGAGATCCCCAACAGTCTACATGATGTCTGGCGGAGTGCGTGGTGGTCCCAGTACCTGGTGGTGCGAGAAACCATGTGACCATCTGATGAAGTCACAGAATCATCAATGGCATAGTCTGGGCATGTTCTATTAGCAGCAAGAGTGGATGTGGATGTGGATAATTATGATGATGATGATGCTGCTGATGATGATAATAGTAATAAAGTGAAGGTCTTTCTCAAAAACACTGAGATACTCTTGCCGACTGTTACTGGTAATGGGACACACCTTAGACACCTGAATGAGCCAATTGCAAGCCAGCCAATATCACCACACAGTCACTCAATCACTCACACTGCGGGGCGGTTCACGGGTAGGTTGAGCAGGTCGATCAAATGAAAAACCTCCTCAGCGAACGCACTTCTTCGCTGCGCCGAACCGGACTCCGACGCGGCCGAACGTGGCAGTTCTTGGCAAGCGAACGTGGTCCTATGTGGGATGATGCTGTCCAGTCCCTTTGTGCTGGACACGAAAAGAGGCAAGGAATCCTCCAAGAGGCAAAGCATTAGGCTGGAAAACACTTGCACCAAGAATCAAGGCAATGCAAACAGTTCAACCAGGATAAAATTTGTTGTCAATGAGATCAGTAATGCGTTATAGATGGAGTCATTCCGAACATTAGATCAATGTATAGATGTAAATATTTCTGGTCCACCGTTCTCGCCACATAGCACGCTCCAGTATTCATCCATAAATGGCATGGATGGGCTCTGATTCTCGGGAAAACGATGGAAAACGATGGAAAACGATGTTGTGCAACCCCTTCCCCGTACCTTCCCTAGCTCCCAAGAACAGGTCAGTGAATCTCGCACCACAAGGATGGTGGTGTAACACATCATCCTGGCGCAATTGAGTCATGGCAGGTCAGCCATGCAGGTCGGCGCAAACCGGGTCTTCCATGTCCAATCGTAGACGACGGGAGACCATGGATCATCCGGTGTGTCAAACCTTCAGGGTCTCTTCACCGGACGTTTGCCCAGCGATTGAATGCGGCAGTGTGCGATCCAATCGTGTGCCCAAACAAACGACAGCCCAGTGACGGATGAAGAAGAAGCCATTGCCTCGGAAAGTGGATGTTTTCTGTTGTTGACATTGGTCGAAGCTCCGTCGTTTTGGGACGTAGTCGAAGTCTCACCAGTCATGTCCGGGGCACCAAAAACCATGTCAAATGGTCAGGAGTGCAGGAGCTTGTTCTCATCCATGAAACCAGGTCACCTGCGGGACAAAATCGTTCTAGACACCTCTTGGGGGATGGTCATCATGGTCTTGACAGTCTACAGGAATCAGGGGCCGACCGGAATGGAATTTTCTTTGGTACTCTTCTGTGAATGCAACACCTTCTGTACCAGTTACAAGCAGGGCGTACACCCCCTGCAACAAACATGGAAGTGGAGTTCACCCCCCACTTCCATGAGGACGTTGGAGGGAGGTTATTCATCGCTTGAAGATGTGAAACCAAATGGAAGAGACGCCTCTGTTTCCTTGTTGTTTCCTCCTGTATCCCCACGCCGTAAACCTGATCATCCATGTGTGCACATGCTGGCATGGCCTGACAATGAGTGAAATCCAGGAAGATCGAGGTGGCCAAATCCACTAAGACACAAAAAAGCATCAGGGATGCTCTTTGGGAATCCCCATTTTGACACACATGCAGCTGCGTGAAGAAAGCCAGACTGTGTTAAAGACCGTCTAAATCAAAGACATGCTGGATCCCTGTGCGTGCATTTAGACATGCTTAGCGCCTTTCAACGGATGAAGACCACCTGAACAACACATTGATTGCGGGCCCTGTTTCCGGTTCAGCTATTGTAGCCGTATCAACATTTCCTTTCTTGCCATTGCCATAAGGAGGCTGTTTGTCGTTTTGGAGGCTCAGGGGCCCCCTCAGATGCTGGAGAGCCAGGTTGCACAAGCAATCGGACTCCAGATCGTAGCCCATAAGCAGGTCATAGCCCTGACTCGCTTGTTGAAGGGCCTTCGTCGGATGCCGCACCAGGAAGATGTCGAAATCCAGCCACATGACGTCGAAGCCTCACCCACAGTTCGGTCGGTTCTGGAGGTGGGGGTTCTGGTGGTCATCTCTTGCACTTGGTGGGTCTGGCAGTGTGTGCCTTTGGGTGCTCGAGTCTCCCGCGGAGAAGGGTAGCAATGCAAGACCCTAACAGAAGTCACTGGCCACCCACGTCCAACAGTTTTCTATCTCACTGATCTTTCGGAGCACGCAGAACGTCGAACCTTCGCGGACTCCATTCACACGCCACGCCACGCAGGTACGCAGTGCAGCGCGAGCCCAAGGGTCTAGACGTCTTTCTTTTTCAAACAACTTTTGCTATTATTTTTTGAATCTATTTTCGTCCTCCACACGTCTGAAGCAATCGCGCAGTTTGGGCGCTGTCATGGTGAAAAAAGCCGGAAAACGTCACCCAGTGAGCCACATGATTGGGGCTTTCTTAAAACAGGACACCTCCCATTGGCACCTCTCCAAGGAAAAACCCATGAACTCCACTTGCCTGCAAGAATGCAGGGAGGGTAAGAGTCAGGACCTGGATAGACCTGGTGACTTGACCTGCAACGCCCTGGGTATTGGATCCTGGCGGACACTCCCAATCCAAACCCATGAAGCTGGGAGGATGTCCACAACATCTTTCGCTCCAAAAACCTCACTCCAAAGGCTGCGAACGAATTCAGCTTTTGCGTGACGCCGCCACCTGCGGGGCGGTTGTACCCCACACCCGGCCACACCCGGCCAAACCGAGACGACGGCGAGTTGCATCGCCAAGAGACCCAGTTGCAAAGCCACCAACAAGAGAGTGTACTTGTTCCTCAGCTCAGCGATGCCCTTTTTGACCTTCGTCCCATCTCAGACCGGCCTTTGGCTGGCGGCACCCCTGTGGTGCCGGATCTTGTTGGACACCCCAGCGGGACCCATTTTCCGTGCCCTCCCAAAAAGCGCGGTGGTTCTCGCAGTGCCCAGACATTTGGATCCTCTGACCCGAGACACCCACCCCACCCTACGCTTCGACGCTTCCAAGCGTCAATACGCTGACCTGGCCACGCACACAAAGCCCATGGTGTTGCAGGCAGAGCTCATAGGCCGTGCTATCCAACGTGGCCTTGGTGACGCGACGTCGCTACGAGGCGGGGCTCCTGGCCTTACTACGACCTCCACAAGGTTCGCTACGATCGGAGCTAGTAGCTACGACCTCCACAACTTTCATCCAACACCAAACCAGCTGTAGCTTCGACCCACGTCGGCACCGCCATCCTTGAAGCTCTCTCTTCTGCAGAATTCCCCCCCAAATCTTATGCCAAACAAAACACGCCTGCATCATGAAGCCACGACCTCACCGTTCACCGTTTCGATCCCGTTTCATTCCCCCTCCCGCGCCCTGCGCGTGAGCGGCCAGGACGAGGTTTCGGAGCTGCAGGAGCTTGGCGCGCGAAGCCCAGCCGGCGATGAAGCGGTTCATGGAACCATAGACCATGGTCACATACACTAATCCTGACGAAGGAGGCGTCACACAGACTCTCACAGGTGACAACCGCGCCCATCACGTAGTGACGGCCAACGAGTACGGCACGAGACGTGACGTGGCGACCGTGCAGACGGTGGCAGCTCAGTGGGTGGGCCAAGAGGTGGTTTCGGCTCTCTGCCGGCCTTGGTGAGGTAGCAAGAACTTGGAAGATGAACACCCTCAATAACAAGCAAGAACCGCTAAGCAGAACACCCTCGCTTGGCTTGGTAGCAAGAACACCCTCAATAACACCCGCGGTATCTGGAAACATGTGCTTCACGCTTTGTCTTCTTCACTCAGCGTTGGATCAAAAGAGTTGCCCAGTCGACCCGTGGGAAACCACAACGGGCAGTCCAGCCCATCTGTCGAGGGTCTCCACATTCAATAACAGCCATACCGCTGGACTGCGGAGGAGAAACAGACCCAAGAAGTAAAAAAAGAGTCGGATCCACCATGCAAAATGATACCAACACCTTCGACTGGACTCCATATGGGTATAGGTATCTGGAGCTGTCTGGAGCCTTCGCCCTCGCGGTGGAGGAAATGGAACGAATCCGTCGACCACAACCCGTGATGGATCCCATGGCCCTTCCCGTGACACAGTGACAGTCTTAGACTTCCCAGTGGCTGGGCTCATCGTCTCGCAGTGCCCTGCGAGACGATACGCGGGGAGGCTGTGGCACACGCGAGCGCGCGTGGGAGGCTGTGCTTGCTAGCCCAAGGCCTGTAGAGCTGTGGGGAAGTTTTCAATTCAGGGGCCCTTCAAGCAGTGGGATGCTGCTCAAGACAAACACACCCCAACATTACACGATAGGTTGGGCGTGCCCTCCTTGTTGGCCCGAATAAGGATGATGGTAAATGCCTCCGGTGTTTGAACGCTTCACCAGGCGCTTCTTCTTTCACAACGGATGTTGACTCAACAGTTTCGGTCCCTCTTCCACAGTCCTTTTCAGCATGAATGTTCGGTTCATTCTTTTTCACCGCCCTCCACGCTGCATCACGCGTCGGCGCGTCACGCGTGCGCGGAAGGCGCCTGAGCGCTGTCTGCAGGACCCTGTGCAAGTCGCCAAAGGACTCACTGTGGTGCCTGGAGAACACCGCGAAGAACCAACGATGCCCAGTATGAGACGTCATGGTCTGGCCGGGAAAAAGGGTTGCTCACAAACTTGGGGCGATGGTCATGGATGGTCACCATGATAGATTTGGAGCTTTCAAGCTTTCTTGGATGTGTTTGAAAAGACATCAACTTATATAAATGGACCAATCTGGCATCCAACAAATTTCCATTGGTTGAAGCCAGGAACCTGGCGCAAGAACTTGGACCCCCAGCGGCATGCGTACAGCATCGACCCAAAGAGCCACACTTCAGCAAGTACGGCAGATGGTGAATCATCCCCACAGGTTGTGCCAAGCCTGATCCGGTAGATGCTGCCCCACAGGTTTCACCTTCTCTTTCGGCAACGTCGAAGGTTTTTGGCTTTCTGGCCACCTCAAAAAGAATGGCTCATGGACTCTGGGTCAGGCTCACACCAAATGATCGTTGCATGTCCTGTCGTAACAGGAATGATCGTTGCCCCATCCCCCCCCACCCCTTACGATCGCTTCGCTTCGGCGGTGTGGGTTTCGCTTAGCGCGCCTGAGCACCTGTCCCTCGAGGAGCTTCAGATGGTCCTCCCTGGGAAGCTGTTGGAGCCAAGGCCCCTCCGCGCGCCAGGGCAGACCGCCCAGCTCCTGGCGAAGGTGGACATCCATCCACGCGTCCTCCAGCGATGCCCATGAGCCACTGTGAAGCATTGAGAGCCCTCTTTTTCTGCCATGCGTGATGCTGAAGTCTTCGAAAGGAACTGCTCTCAGGGCCCCTCCCAAACCTCCTTTAGGCCCTCCTCATTTTTGACCCCAAGACCTGTCGCTCCACGCTCCGCGCGCTGCGTCCGCTCCTGTGCCGTGAAGTCCAAGCGGAAATTGTGCCTCCTGCCGTGGGGGAAGCGGAGGATACAGCGCCCAAACGCTCCTAGTAGTAGTAGCCTCAAAACCCTAGTAGCTTCTGCCTTCACCCTAGTAGCGTCCTTGTTCCTATATTGGTCCCCAAACAGATAGAAACAGTTTCCAATACTATTTGTGATGAGAATGTCATGACTGGACCGCCTGCCGACCCGGTCTAGACCCGGGAAGGAGGGACGGGTCGTCTCTTTGTTGAAGAAATCCATTGCACTTCAAAAGGACGTGTGACAGTGGATATTAATACAGCTCAGAATCAAGAAGACATGGAGAGTTTGGTGACTAAGCCAAAGCCCATTTCGTGTCTGCTAGAAGATCTCAACAAACCTATTGACTTTACAGGGTCTAAGCACACATTGTCACCCCAAACATAAAAAGTAGTAGTGGCAGCGGTATTGCCATTCAGGGCTGAGAGCAGTGTACCAAACGCTCCAGTTGCATCGCGCAATGCAAAGATTGCCATGCGTGCTTGGAGGCCATCGCTTCTAGGCGTGCTTTTCAGAGGCATCGAGCGTTCCTTTCTAAAAGCCCTTGAGGCCTTCCATGTCGAGGACTGCGAGGTCTTGGAGGGAATGATTGGTTTGTGGTCGAGTCGGTGTTGGGCTTATCCACTCCAACTCACTAACATAGAAGTGGACACCAGTCTGTTTGTAGAGGAAATTCGTCTTCCCAAAGGCCATGCCATCCACTTCCATGTTGGTAGAAGCCCCAGGGGGCGCCGCTTTTCCATTTGAGTGGAGAATCAACTTCCTGAAGGAGGCCCCTGCACTTCACCAACTCTATACGGCTATGCGGGGCAGCAAAGGGTGTCCCATACCACTTCAGATGCCATGTGATGCAGAAGAGGCTTTATATCGGATCTTTGTATGGCTGCTAGGGACTGCCCATGCCTCGGTTTCCTATCCTCCCAACACAAAAATCGTTTGGTACTCCCCGAAAGGAAGAAAAGAGATCTTCCACCCCTCCCACCCCCAACCACCCCTTCCCAAAAAGAAGAGCAGCTGTTGGAGTTGACAGTTGGAGTTGAAGAGTCCTTCTTTGAGAAACACCCAACACCCGGTGCCTTTTTGGGAAAGAAAACGCCCCAACACATACAACCAAACGCCCCCAGGCCCAACCGGCACCGCACCGCACCGCTTGTGCTGAGCCGGCCGTTCGGTGCGGCCTTAAGGAGGTGAAGTGGTGGAACAACTCGAAGATCCTCCAGTGGCTGGCGCCCAAGAGATGCAAACCTCGGCGCTTGGCCACCCGCTTGGCCACCGGTGGGTTGGTTGGTGGGTGGGTTGGTTGGTTGCGCGATGTGTCGGTGAGGTCCTTTTGGCGACCCATGGAACTTTTCGTGCTTGAGCTTGTGGAATTGCCTGCTTGGAGCTTCTGCTATCCGCGCGCCAAGGGCAGCAGAGCGGTAGAACAATCCCATGACGCGGTAGGTCAATTGGTTCTTTTGGTCAATACCAAGGAGCTGCATGCACATAGACCTTTTTTGGGGTGAGGCTTTCTCCCCTATTCTGACGATCCACTTTCACCTTGAATGGTCAGTCTCCGTTCGCACACGTCCAACCCGCTTGGATAACTTAGGTAGGTGAATCAGCTTGCTTAAGAGGTAAAAGGCTGGCGGAACGTCGCTCCATAGCGGAGCGAAACACCAAGTCCGTCGCCGTGAACGGGACGACCAGCACGGTCTCTTGAGACATCCGTTCACCTCCTAGCCATTCATGGCCTCCAACCTACTAGCGAAATGGAAGGCCACCATCGTCCGTCGAAAACGAAACGACCAACCCCAAAAAACCCAACGAATGCACCCTTCCATCCCCGCACCGATGCAAACTGCGTGGTCTACGCACACCGCGCACGCAGCACGCTACGCAACGCATCCCGCCGCGCCGGTCTGACCCTGTGGTGCCCGGGCTCTCGTAATGGATCCACTGCACGTACGGCCTCGACCGGTGCCACCCAGGAGCAGCAGCGACGGGGAGCGCCGCGAACGAAACGCGCCCTAAGCGTAGAACATCTGAGGCGTCTGGGTCTCGGTGGAAAGGGCTTGAACTTGGAGTTAGTCATTCAAACATAGCTAGTGAGTTTGAATTCTTGGCGGCAATGTGGAAACATCACCCCAAAATCACCACATCCTCCCCCCCCAAAAAAGACCGCCGCTCCGCTGATCACTCCCCCTCTAGTCCCCTCACCCAGCGCGGGTCAAGGACAGATGTTTCTTCGCATCACCGACCGGTCCGGGTTTGCCACGAGCAGAGCGCTGCCAGGGCTTCCAGCAAGAGCTCCTTTCCCGACGACGACCACCGCGCGCGCCAACACCGCGCGAGCATTGAGGAAGTGGATCCAGATAATGAGGAAAGCCGTTTTACATGAACTTTGGGAGTGTGGTCATAGTTCTGAGGGATTACCACTTCATCAACTGACATGGAGGACTGCACGATCTTCTTTGGGGTGCAGCTCTTGCTTCGATGGGTTTGAGTGAAAAACCTTTTTGAAGCCCTTGTCTGGGACCCGGGATTTGCCTTGTCCTTGGTATATCACTGACTGGTGAGCCTTAAAACCTCTTTTGCAATCTACCTGAGGATGACTATGCAGTTGACTGTTTATGATATTCAGTGCAATTGACACCCCTTTGACCCTTTGCTATATTCATCTAGATTCTGATGCTTGCAATGGGTAGATGTGTGAAGAAAAAACACACATGTACTTTTGTGGGCTGGTTTTGGTTGGAGAGGCTGGAGGTGAAGGCAGGGCTTCTCTAGGGCCTCCATCGATTCAAATCAATCTTTACGGGTGAGCTGTACTGCAAGGCCCAGGGGGTCTGATGTGCTCCAAGCTGACCTGCCATCCGAGTGGAAAGCACCTGGTGTAGCAACTCAAAAGCCACCCAGATGGTTCAACCCACGGATTCTTGTACTTGGATGATGCGTTGGCACCCTCGATCTTTACATCCCTTCCGAACCCGACAGAGTCGAACATGTTTCAACTCAGGAACTTGACACCTGAGCGCCATCAACTGGGCAGAGTGCCTACTGCGGAGTATGATCTTGGACTGGCCACCCTGGTCCTGCACACCTGCATCCCTGCAGTCCAACTTGGGTACACACCAATCCTTGCGTCTTGGTGATGGATTGGAGTTTTGTGAAAAATGCTCCGTTCAACTTGGAGGTCCATCTGTTTCTTCAGACATGCCCACCCCCCAATCCTCTCCACATATCTTCTATTTCACTCTCAGCACACACTGCCTATGGGAATCTCCATTCCTTCCCCATTGCCCGAAAAAAGACGACCTCGCTCCGACCGGCCCACGCGACGTGCTCCTTTCTCACGCCCAGCACGTCGCCACGCGCATGCGGATCGATCGCTCCGTCGGATCGGAATCCTGTTCATCGCAATCTTCGACTGCGTGGATCTCCAGAAACTCGTGCATCGCGCCCCTCCGGCCGCCACGGCCGGACCGATCCACCCAGTCCGGGGAGAAGAAGCCGGGCACTGTGGTGGGTCACCCGGGAAGCTTTGGAACACAATGAAGCCTTTTTTTTGCAGCAGAGCTCAAAAGCCGGGGGTTCGAGATGTAGCAGGTAGGATTTGCTGTTTTTGGGACCCTTGAAAGTTGATGAGCGGACCCATGTGAGAAAGGGACTCAGATCTTACGGGACATCCCAGCAGGGGCTGTTGAAACATCTAGGCAGGCTTCCAACACCCTCAAGGACTATTCTATTAGTGACGTTTCACCCAAACAATTGGGGCTACAAAACCAAGGTCTTACTTTTATTTGAAGCTGATAAACTGCCAGGTCGAACATATCTGGCTTGCCAGGCCTTCAATCCCTTCAGACTCTACACCAAACTGTGGCGGACTACGAAATCACTTGGAAAATAGGAAAAAAACATCAATTTGGGAACCCCACCGCTTTTCAACCAGTTTTGTTATGTATGCCCATCCGGTCCAGACCTCATCCGGGGTTCCTCTAATCCGTCCGACCACCAGCTCGTTGAGCTCCCAACAGCACCCCGCCTGTAGTTCTCTGCGATCTGCGCTAGGTGGTCGTAGGAGTCCTCGATCTCCTGCGACTGCTGGAGAGATGAGTTTAAATTGAAAAACAATCTTCTTTGGAGATACTAACAGCAATGGCCTCTTCCCTAGTAGCGATGGCCAAAAAGGACAACTGACACCAGGTTGGGTGATTCCACCGTTCCGACCATGTTCTGCCCATGAAAGAGCATTTTCAGTGACATATTATAGAAACTCTCCTTACCCAACTTTTCATTCAATCTCCGTGCCCCGGTGTTGCCCACCCAAAAAATCACCACATCGCCCCCCCCAAATTCCCACGCCGTACTCGCCCGGCTCGCCCGTCCTCGATGAGGCGTCCACTCAGCTTCCCACCGCCGCCCACGCTGCGGATCCACTCCGAGACCTCTGACAGCTCGGCAGATCCACCAGCGGTCAGGGCCTGGTGGCGGCTGAAGAAGGGATGAAGTTCGGGTTAAGCAGTGGATGACCAACCCCAAGCAGTGGATATCAGTGGATCTGTCATCTCTGGTGGCGGCTGCGAAGCTTTCATCAACTCTTCCATCGATTCTTGCACCCGAATCCACCTGAATCAACCTGCATCGACCAGGCGTTTTTCGCCTTCCACCGTTCTTTCGCTTTTCTCACCTATCCCGTCGTCCCATGTGTGTAGAATTTCCTAAAAACTCAGAGGTCAAAGCCCAAGTGCTTGAGACCTACGTTATTCTTTCAACAGAAAAGGGAATTACTGAGTACACTGATTTACTGGAAGAAGGTAACTTGCAGCTGCTGATTCTGGCTGTCTCGATTGGCAAGACTAGCCATTAGGCCCATTTGAAACATCTCCTTTGGTCCCCGCGTCTTTTTCCGTTTCACCAACTCTTTTTCCCATGGATGAGACGCTCCATGAAAAACCTGAAAGCACATCACCTGATCATCACCTGAGCCTTTTGACCACTTTGGACCTGCTCTTCCGGAGTTCTTGGCACTAAAAAAGAGCATGCGCCCCTGGGGCGCTCGCCGCATGTGCTGCCGGCGCCGCGGATCGCGCGCGCTGCGCTCCGTCCTCCACTGGCTTGGCCATGATGCCCGGTAGCTCCAGTGGCGGGGCCTGTGGATCAAGCACCTGAGACGTGCCCGGCACCAGCGGAAGACGTGGAAAGGCATCATGAAAATGAACACCGCCCAAACATGCATGAAATCAATGAATGGGGCTGTTTTCTCAAAAGGACAAAACCCTAACTTCAAAGCACAAACACAGCTTAGAGGCATTCTCTGATGGCCAGTGGAGGTTATTGCTCTTAGAAGGTAGGGCCATCGCTACTAGGTCGGAGGCCATTTCTAGTGGGTTGGAGGCCATCGCTACTAGGGTGGATGGCTAGTGTGCCACCGATGCATCTTCCGTTGTTACCCACGTTTGGTCCGTCCGATCCGCTCGGGTCTCCGCGTCGCTCGGGTGCGCCTGCAGCGCCGGTGCGTGCTCGCCCGGCAGGAAGGCGACCACATCGTTCAGCTGCAGCAGCGTGGGCTGATGAGGCTTCAACTTCTTGCCGTTCAGCCAGGTGCCGTTCGATGACAAGTCGCACACCAGCAGCGAAGGCTCTCCCCTGAGACGAGCATGAAGATGCACAATGATGCACAGGATCGCCCCAATTCCATCCCATTTAGGAGTATACGGGGAGGATGCTTTTCGGGCGCCACGCGACCTGCCCCCAATCCATTTCGCTTGGTGGACGCTCCACGGACCTGGCCCGGACGGTGGACGCTCTGGGTGGCCGCGGCCTGGGAGTCACTTGGAGGCTGAACTCTGCGTGGCGCTTGGACACGTGCTGCGCCTGAAAAGCTCGGTAGACGGTAGACTAGCTGGGACTCTTGATGATTCGTCGACCACCCCGCATGGTTTTCAACCTCTGGGGGGCTCTATCAACAGTCCACCGGTCCTGGTGTTGTCTTGGTTTCGCTCTTCCGATTTTCTGACACGGACCTGTTGAGTGAGAACCCAGCTGCCGAACACCGAACACCCGGAACACCATCGGAGTGGCCGGCATTCGCTGGACGTGCTCCGTGCAGCGCAGGTACGAAGGGTTTGTATTTTTGTTTCGATGAACGGGTTTGCTCAGCAGGTTTGCTCAGAAGGGTTTTCAGAGAATGAAGGCCCTGACTGTCATGCTGCTCCATCTTTTGGTATATGGGAACCAAACCCATGCGCAGGCCCGACAACTCCTGCAATTCGTTGGGTCCTCCTGGGGACCGGTCCAGCTGAAGCATGTGTCCTGTACAACCGGTGGATGTCCAAAGCATTCACCACCGAATAGTGAAGCAAAAGAGACATGCCTTGGGTCTAGCCCATTACCAGCAAGAATGGATAGTAAGAGTGGATGATGATGGTTAGGTTGCAGGCCTTTTGCTAAATAGTGATATTCTTGTTTACCGACCGTTACAGGTTTTTAATAGGACAGACCCAAGACATGCCAATCGTACTGGTCATTTCAGTTTGCTTTTCGGAACGCAGTGGCTTCCACCGATGTCGCCGTCGGTGACACAGCGCCCGGGCGAATCGACCCATTCGATGACCCGGCAATACTGATCGGTCACTACCAGCACCCTCCAACAGGCTGTTAGTTGAGGGTTGTTGGACCCTAACAGGTCTCAATTGGTGACCTGTTGGAAGGTGCTGAAATCGCGTAGCGACATCGCCCCCACTGAAATCTACTGATATGTGAAAGCTTCTTGGAGCACAAACATGCCTGAAGAGCCAGGTCTAAATGGGCAGGTGGTGTAACCACTAGCCCAGCATGCACCATTGATACATTTTGCATCAACTTTGTTCACTTGCCAGCATCAAACTCACAGGCCGTTCCAATATATGTTCTCCGGCATCAAACCATCCCGACCCAGGATCACCCCCCAGCCGAGCCGACACCGGTCGA